AATTTTGGAGTTCTGGAATTATGGAAATTTGGAATTTTGGAATTCTCGAATACTGGAATTATGGAAATTTGGAATTTTTCTTGAATTTTTGAATTCTGAAATTATGGAAATTTGGGACTTTAGAATTCCTGAATTTTTTAGAGAAATTTTGAATTTGAACTTTTTGAACTTTAGAATTATGGAAGATAAAGGTCTAAAAATTTTGGAATTTTAGGAATTTTATTAGATTTTTCTAAAATTTGAATTTTATGATTTTAGTGTCTATTAATTTAGGTACTTAAGAACTAAAGGATTTTGAATTACCTCAATTATGAATTTATATAATTCTCCAACCTTAATAATTTTAATAACTTTAGTAATTTTGTAATTTTTAATTTTGCAGTTTGAAAATCTATAATTTATAAATTCTACAATTTTCTCAATTAATTACAAAGAACCTCAAATAGCACCCAGGTACATCATTGACTCTCCCCTTTAAAAAATGTCGAAATCCACAAACTTCAATAAACAATTCCACATAAAAAAGTACCAAAGTCTACAAAATTCGTCAACCCAAAAAAACTTGTATAATAACATGTATAATAACATGAAATATTATTATTAAATCACATGATATATCAATTCTATTAAAACTTGTTAAACTCTCACCCTGTCGAAAACTATGATAACTTTATTGTCCCATATAATATAAAACTGTTCTCCCTTATGAAACTCCAGCAAGCACATTCGTTTCCAATATTACGTTCATAAGAATTCAATGGCGCTGACTTTACAGAATCGCGTTACAAGTCCAAAAGAATCTTCCAAAGAAAGTTTGTCTTTAAGTTAAAAACTTCCCGCGGAGTTTATCCCGCGGGTTACATGGAAGCATGCACAATTCTCTTTTAAGATCCAAGAAACAAAGGGACTTCTGAAACTTATTTACGCGACCAAACAGTTTTCGCGCGGAAGTTTTGAATAAACTTAGAAGCTTGTATAAAAAGCGAATTAAAAAATAATTGTCGTAGTACGAACAAGATTATTCGGATTAAAAAACAAGACCATTGAAAACAATAACACTGTATTTTATTATTTTACGTCGAATAAAATTATTTTTTTCAGAGGGTCACCCTTTTATTGTTGAACGTACACTGATGAGCAGATGTAGGCTTTTTTAAGAGTATTGCGATGTGGGAGAAGAGGAGTTGAGTATGTGAATTTTTTCAAATTTTGTGATTTGGATTTTTTCAAAGTTTTGGATTTGGAAGTTTAGAAATTTGGGGTTGAGGGGATTTAGGGGTGTGATTGGGAGATTTGGAGATTTAGGGGGGTTGGGAATTTGGGGGTTTTGGGATTTGGGGGTTTTGGGATTGGGGGGTTTTGGGATTTGGGGGTTTTGGGATTTGGAGGTTTTGAGATTTGGGGGTTTTGGGATTTGGGGATTTTGGAATTTGGGGGTTTTGGGATTTGGGGGTTTTGGGATTTGAAGGTTTTGAGATTTGGGGGTTTTGAGATTTGGGGATTTTGGAATTTGGGGGTTTTGGGATTTGGGGGTTTTGGGATTTGGAGGTTTTGGGATTCGGGGGTTTTGGGATTTGAAGGTTTCGAGATTTGGGGGTTTTGGGATTTGGGGATAATAGAAATTTGGGGTATAGGGATTTGGAGAAATAGGAATTTGGGGTGTAGAGATTTGGAGAAATAGGAATTTGGGGTGTAGAGATTTGGGGATGTAGAGATTTGGGGATGTGGGAAATTGGAAATGTGAGAATTTGGGGACGTGGGAATTTGGGGACGTAGAAATTCGGGAACGTGGGAATTTGGAGACGTGGAAATTTGGGGACGTGAGAATTTGGGGATGTGGGAATTTGGAAATGTGAGAATTTGGGAATATGGGAATTTGGAAATGTAGTAATTTGGGTATGCAGAGATTTGGGAATGTAGGGATTTGTATCTACAGTAATACAAGACTACATTAATTCAGAGCTACAGAAATTTACATATAGGTACAAAACGTCAAGAATATAAAAATTACCAAAAATAAGAATTTGTTGTCATACAGCCCTATAAAGAAATTTTGAAACTTATGAAGACCTATGAACAAAGAAACTTAGGGACTTGTGGATATAAGAATTGTGAATGTCAGTATTACACATTTGGAATTTGAGGATCTCTTATTCATAAATTTGCAAACTTACTATTATTTTCAAGAATTCAAAAATGCACCTCAGAAATTACAAAATTTGAAAATCAACTCCCCAAAAATAAAGAAAAATGATGGAAGTCACCCTTACGTCTTTCCCCATTTAAACAAAGCCTACATCGCTCCCAGTGAACTCGAAACATTTAAACAATTAGCCAACGTCAAACAACACTTCGACTTCCTATTCGATCGATAAAAGAACAAAGTCGTCGTATCAAACAGGAATCGGATCAAACGAATTTCCATGGACGCTTTCCGTCACCGAGATGATCGATGCACGGTTCATAGTTATTAAAAAGTAGAAAAAGATAGAAAAAGCCGCAGAGAATAGGTTCATCTCGGTGTTTGTTTAACCAGTGTATAAAATCGATATTGGGCAGCGATGATTCGATCGAGGAACATCGATCGTATTGTATTATACTGCTTTTCAACGTTTCACTTTTTCGATTAACTCGTTATACATTTAGTAATTTAATGTTAATTTTTGTTTATTCGTAAGATTTGAGATTTGTTATTCTTGTGAGTCATTTTTAAAATAATTTTTAGTACAATGTTTTAAAATCTGATACTAAACTAATATACTAAACATGTATATTTACATATAAAGCATATTTTATATTAAGTTAAACATTTTAAGTATATAAATACTGTAAATTAATATGTTATATTTATGTTACATTTATAATTCTTGTATCAAATTTTATTAAGGATTTCAACCCTCTTATAGGTTATGATCACGCTGATTCATAATTTCGCTGATCAAATTTAATTTCGCATTTCTTTATTTTCCTACACTTTTATTTTTCTTTAATATTGTTAGGTTAATTTCAATATAATCATCTTTTAATACAATGTTCGCACTATGTCGCAATTTAAAATACATATGCACCCATAAATTTGGGTTAAACAAATCTCAAATCTCAATACGCTAAATTATCCCCTAATAATCCCCGAAACCGATTAAATCTATTTGTTCTTAGAATAAAATTGATTCCCCAGTTGCTAAAAATTTCTTTAAAATCAGCGTGTCACGTATTCCCGAAAGAAAGAAAAGAACTCGAACAGAAGAAGGATGGAAGAGAATAGATATTGGTTAGATATCGACGAGCCGTATCGTCGTGAATTATCATTAAATCCGAGTGAAACGTTCGTTCATGATTCTGCTCGAGAATTGCTTTTCTGTGTGGCAGACGAGAAAAGAAATGGGCGAAGCACTCAGGCAAAACCGTTCAATTTTCATTCCGTTTCTTCCTCTCTCTATCGAAGTCCTCTCTCACATTCGTACTTTGTTTACTAGTTCTCTCCGTCTCGCTGTTTATTATATATTCTCACACACTCGCATTTTATTGTTTCGCTATTTACAAACGTTCTGTATACGACGTGTTCACGTTACAGCTACTCGTCATTTTTCATCGCATGTAATAGGAGTGAAGAGAAGATGTGATAAAATTGATCTATATGCATTTTTATATTGTCGATGAACTTTGAGGGGTAATATTCAATTTCTGGGGTAGATTTAAATTTTCTGGGATAGGTTAAATTTTCATATTTATTATTTTTATAGAGTATGTTTGTTAGATTGATATATAGGTGGAGTGTAGTGGGACTAATACTGCAGCTTCAAGTTTGGACTATTTTGAAGTATGCTGTGTTTATGGAGAAAATGGCGGTCAAGGAGGAAGAAGATGCAGTATTTGATGTTTGAGCGGTTTGAGAAATTAGTAACTGTGGATGTTGAAGAAAGAATTTGGGGGTTTGGGATTTGGGGATTTAGGAGTTTAAGGGTGTAGGGATTTGGGGACTTGGGAATTTGGGAATTAGTGTATTTGGAGATGTGGAAATTTGGGAATGTGGGGATTTGGGGAGCTAGAGATTTGGAGATGTGGAAATTTGGGTGTGTAGAGATTTGGGGATTTAGGAATTTGAGGGTGCAGGGATTTGGGGACTTGGGAATTTGAGAATTAGTGGATTTGGAGATGTGGAAATTTGGGAATATGGGGATTTGGGGAGCTAGAGATTTGGAGATGTGGAAATTTGGGTGTGCAGAGATTTGGGGATTTGGGAGTTTGGGAATTTAGGGATTTGGAAATGTAGAAATTTGGGAATGTGAGAATTTGGTGATTTAGAAATTAGGTCATTTAGGGATTTGGAGATGTAGAAATTTGGGAATGTGGGGATTTAGAGTACTAGAGATTTGGAGACATGGAAATTTGGGTGTGTAGAGATTTGGGGATTTGGGAGTTTGGGAATTTAGGGATTTGGAGATGTAGAAATTTGGGAATGTCAGAATTTGGGGATTTAGAAATTTAGTCATTTAGGAATTAGGAGATGTAGAAATTTGGGAATGTGAAAATTTGGGGATTTAGGAATTTGAGAATGAAAAGATATTAAGATGTAGAAATTTGGAGATTTAGGAATTAGAAAATTAAGGGATTTGGAGCTCCAAAGACGTGGAGATTTAATTTTGTGGTAATATAATTATCATCAACTCTACTCACAAAACTATGAATTGTAACACAGGTATTTATAAATCTCCAAATTCGAATATTAAAAAACTTGTCAATTAAAGATTTTATAAATCCACCAATTTCTCAGCATCCTAGGATCCTCCCTAGGATCTCATTCACAGATCAATTTTATAAAACCCACCTTCCAACAACACCCTTACAAATAACCAAAAAAAAAACCACTCTAGTAACGTTAATCGTGAACACCCCCTATACCGCTGTGTATGTACGTGTACGTGTATTTGTTGCTTAAATAACGTTCGTTTAACATTTTCCACGCTCCCAGTTCCCTATTATCTCGATTTTACCTAAAATAATTATTTAATTGTTATTTAACCGCGGTGACACGTGGTTTTAAAGGCTAGTCTCCACGTTGTCAATTCCGCACTCCCTTTTTTTCTTTAACTATTTCATTGTTCTTTGATCATTCATTTTGTTATGTCACGGGTTTCTTAAGATTTTCCTGTACTCGATTGTTCACTATTTGTTTATATTCATTTTTTTTATTTTCTTTTTTTATTTTTTCTTTCTTCACGTACACCGGCGAGTTCTCTTGCCGTCTCTTCATGTCTGCGTCGCTTCAACGGATATCCGGTGTCCGCAAACGATTTCGATGTATCGTCGGTGCGTGTTTTAGTCGAGGTGAAAAGGTTCTGATGAATTATAAAGGGGGAGCTGGCCGGTACAGAGGATTGCCCCTGATGGGAAGCACGTGAGCCTCGGAGTTGAACACCCACTCGTCAAGGTTTATGAGATCGTCGTCGCTGAAGAGCAGGTAAAGGTACTGTAACACACAACAAAATTTATTTAATATTCATTTCATGTCATTTCACTTACAACTGTATTAAATTTATTAAGTCCTTAACGTATCTTTGAATACAAAATTTAAATATGTTTGTAACAGGCAATATGTTAACATTTTTACAATTCATTGTAACACACAACAAAATTCATTTTAACATTTATTTTATAACATTTCATTTATAACCTCACTAAATTTTCATTTATTAAATTAGTAACGTATCTTTGAATACAAAAATTAAATATCTTTGTAACAAGCAATATGTCAATATCTTGAGAGTTCATTTTATTAAATGCTCCATTTTGTGTAACATCCATTTTGTGGAGCATTTAATGTATTACGTATCTTTATATAATTAAACTGATAGCATTCTTGTCTAGTTAGGAAGTAGACATAAATTCTTGACATAAAAGTGTCGCTAAATATCATGTATGGTACAACAATTTGAAGCTTGTAGTTTGAAGGACATTGCTACGTAAAGTTTTCATCGATGTCTTTAATACAAAATGGCTGCCTACCAGTTATAGCACACATCAAGTGATTTCAGTATGTGTACAAACTAACATAAATTCATGACATAAAAGTGTTACCAAATATCATGTATGGTATATCAATTTGAAGCTTGGAGTTTGACGGAAATTGCTACGTAAAGTTTTCATCGATGTCTTTAATACAAAATGGCTGCCTGCCAGTTATAGCAAGCATCAAGTGATTTCAATATGTATACAAACTAACATAAATTCATGACATAAAAGTGTCACCAAATATCATGCATGATACATCAATTTCAAGCTTGGAATGTGACGGAAATTGCTACGTAAAGTTTTCATCGATGTGTTTAATACAAAATGGCTGCCTACCAGTTACAGCACACATCAAGTGATTTCAAATGTATACAAACTAACATAAATTCATGACATAAAAGTGTTACTAAATATCATGTATAGTATATCAATTTGAAGCTCGGACTTTGACGGAAATTACTGCGTAATGTTTTCATCGATATGTCTAATACAAAATGGCTGCCACTTATAGCAAAGACTAACCAAGATGTAGTCTGACAAATCGATGACATAAAAATGTAAAAAAACAGCATACATGGAATGTAAAGTTTAGAATCTGATAAAAATAACTGTATAATGCATTTATTAATATTCGATGGCATAAAAGTGCAACAAAATAACAAAAATAGTTTATAAATCTAAAATTCAAAGTCTCACAAAAATAACAGTTTAAAGTCATCACTGTTTTTAACATATTAACTGCTGATTATAGTAATAAGTAATTCTGAGAGATCTAAAATCTGACACAAATCGATAACATAAAAGTGTAGAACCATTTAAAAAATAGTCCACGAATTTAGAGCTCTATCGAAAATCATCTCATAAAGCTTTCATTAATTCCGTTAATATAAAACGTTAGATTGTCAATTACAGCAATTAACGATCAATTTCGAAACGTTCAAAATAACACAAATTAGTGACATAAAAGTACTACAGAATATCATAGACAACGTGTCAATCAAAAGCTTAAATTAGCAAAACAGTATTCTCAATATAAGCAGACTTTTCGTTAGAGCAAATAACGAATCAACCAATTTATAGCACAGTATTGTCCATTAGCGAATATCCAATTTCAAATCGTTTATTCCGTAAAATGGCCATTTCGATTTGTTTTCGGTTTAACAACTGAAAAATTGTACATTCATCATGAAACAATGAACTAAAAAGTCTATCACCGTTTCCGGAGGGAAGTGATCAAAAATTGAACACTCGGTGACGGGTTGTAGAGTCCATAAATTGGACGATTCATTATTTATTTTAACGTTTCGTGTCAAAAATATCGATGCAGTATTTACAGTGACTGTTTTCGAGCTTTACACTTTGATATGTAACAAACATTGCACTTTTGTCAAATATAATTTGAAATAATTAGCTGCTTTATTTCAGAGCAGCCATGATGTAGAAATTAATCTCCATTTTCGTCAAGCAGCCATTATCTAAGAGCAGCCATTTTGAACTTCTTAAAACTCCTTAATAAATCTTCCTCACAAAATTACGATAAATACGCTATCATTAAGTTTAAAATTTTTATTTCGATACATTAAGAATGTTATTTGATAATTTGTGTAATGAAATCATGTTTCCACGTTTTCAAATTGTTCATCTGATACGCAATTTAATCCTCATAAATTATGTTAAACAATATGCAAATTGTTATATTCACGGAATCGTTTCAAATCTACGCGCGTTTAGTGTCTTTATTTATCGAATGGTTCCGGTGAAATTGCTGTGCAATCATTTTATTGCTAAAATGGACTGAGTACGGTTTCTCTGTCGACGTACATTCTACTGCAGTAGAACAAGACCGTATTGGTCAGCCATCGATACTCTACTCTCGATTACACAGAGGCTGATGTAATTTAATAACATTGAATACCTCGTAATCATACTCAGCACACGATTCACTTTAACCATTTGTATAATTAACAAATATTGTGGAAAGCTTACTACCATTAATAATAACTATAATTCACAAACGTGTATTTAACAATTATCACTGTGCACGTTTTGAAAGTGAATGTTTTGGAATTTTGGAGATTTTATTTTAGGAATTTTTTAATCGAGGTATATGATGAATTTTTTAATTGAGGTATATGATGAACTTTTTAATTGAGGTATATGATGAACTTTTTAATTCAGGTATATGATGATTTTTTAAATTGAGGTATATGATGAACTTTTTAATTGAGGTATATGATGAATTTTTTAATTGAGGTATATGATGAATTTTTTAATTGAGGTATATGATGAACCTTTTAATTCAGGTATATGATGAACTTTTTAATTGAGGTATATGATAAATTTTTTAATTGAGGTATATGATGAATTTTTAAATTTGAAATTGTGAAAATTCGAGAATGTAAGAATTTAGAAATTGTAGAAATTTGTGAATACAAAAATTTGAACATGATAAAATTTAGAGACTTAACAAATTTTTAAACGTGAGAATTATGTAATTTATGTATATTAAAAAAATCTAAACTTGATAATGTGAAAATTTGCAAATTTTTCAAAGGGAGTATACAAACTTAAAAATTCGTATACTTAACAAATTTCACAATGCGAAAATTCACAAAGTTTGCCCAAATAAGAACAGAAGAACAATCTAAAATATCATTTGCAAAATTAAAAAATTTGTCAATACAAAAAGTTGAAAGTTTACGTTTCTAAAATTTAGCAAACTTGAAGCATCAAAAAATCTAAAAATACAGAAACTAATGAATAAAATATAATAAATGTACAAATATAGAAATTTCCCTTATGAAAAAAAAAATACATTTTATACTGTCAGCAGTTTATATTATTATCAAGACATAAATCAGCAAGATGCAATTTGCAACGGTTTTAGAAGCTTTAAAATATCCCGGTAACGCCCAGAAAGGCGATAGTTAATGTGATTTCTCCGACTAAGATCCAGTGGGATTCGGCCAGCAATCAACCGCGCGTTAATAAGACGATTAACTGCTTAACGCAGCCGCTGTTACGGCCAATAATGGTTGCCTATGTTCCGTTTTATAAGCGTGTTCACCTGGTTTCCTAGATCGTTTAATCGTCCTTCTCCGGTTGCTAATGTTACAAAAAGCTTCTGGGTTCTTCTTTACCGGAAGTTAAGAAACAAGTTACGTGGAAACGTGGAGGATAATCGTTAAATGTTAACGGTAAACGTTGCACCGTTGCTGAGAAGTTGATGAATTTGCGGACGAGCATTTGCAATTTTGGGAACTTTTGTGATTTTGGAGATTTTGTAAATTTAGGGGACTTCGAAGATTTGGGGAATTCTGAAGATTTTGAGAATATTGAAAATTTTATGAATTTTGCAAACTTTCAGAATTTTTAGAATATTGAAAATTTTATGAATTTTGACTTTAGCGACTTTAAAGACTTTAAAGACAGAATACAGCAAACCAATATATTCAAAGTGCAGATTTTACTAACTAAGACTTTAGAAACTTACAATTCAATAAACCGAGATAATCAAGACACAAAATTGCACCAATCAAGGACATTCAAAATGAAAAATTTCACTAAACAAGGCACTAAAAATGCAAGATTAAATCAACACTTTAATGGTCGCTCACACAACACGTTTGTGAAGATTGATGAACGTAGATGATTGCCTTAATAATTATCACACAAAAGAAAATATTAAATCTGTCGTATTAAATGTGTCATAATTATTGTTGTTTTCATTTGTTTTATGTGTATGTTTGCACACGCTGAATTATTTCCTGAATTTATATAAAGTTTTTCTTAAATTAATTCTCCAAAAACATTGCTAGGCTAACGACATTTCTTAGGCGGCCATTAAAGTGTTAACCAAGATTTAATGCATCCTAATTGTAGTTGTTTTCATTTGTTTTATGTGTATGTTTGCACACGCTGAATTATTTCTTGAATTTATATAAAATTTTTTAAAATTATTTCTTCAAAAGTTATGCTAGGGTGACGACATTTTGTAGACAACCATTAAAGTGTTAACCAAGATTTAATGCATCCTAATTGTAGTTGTTTTCATTTGTTTTATGTGCATGTTTACACGCGTCGAATTATTTCCTGAATTTACATAAAATTTTTTTTAATTAATTCTTCAAAAATATTGCTAGGCGACATTTCTTAGACCATTAAAGTATTAACCAAGATATCGAACTGCGATTTCAAGTAAAAGTGCTAAAAATATGTAAAAACTTGATCGAACGTAAGATGCCTAACCTTTAGAGTTTCGGCGAAGAAATAACTCTGTTGGACATCGTCCTGTGGAGGATCAATCATGTAAACATTGTGAAGTCCGGTGAATCCTCCAGGAACCCGACAGTATTTCTCCAGTGCCTGAACAGCCTCCCATCCCCACTCACGGTATTTCGGGTCCTTTGTCAACCGCCACATCACGAAGTACGACTCGAACGTCTGAAAGAAAAATATTTTACCTCGGAATTTTGGCCGTTGGCCCGTGTTTGTTCGGCGAGCAACATTGAAAAGGATGGATTGAATATTCTAGCTTTCATTACCGGTCGAGAAAACAGCCGAAAATAAATGCTGAAACATTTCTCTGTTTGTTTGCTTTCCACGTTCCGCCATTTACCAGACGTTTCTCGACCCATTTCGAAAAACACGCGACTATTTTTTTTCCTAAAGCGACGCGGAACTTCGTTAATTAATGCTACGATAGAATCGCATTATATTAATTAACGAATTATAAAGCCTCGATAATGGAGGAATCGAATTTTATTCACGTTAAAGTTAAAAGCTCTTGATCAAATGAAATTCATAATGCTCTCGATACTAAATAATTTAAAATAATGCGAAATTACTCGAAAATTCACATTTACCTCGAAAGAAATTTATAACCGATATTTGATCGATTTTCTGGCGTTACGTGGTCAATGAACCTTACCTCTGGCCGCAGGATATAATATTTCTCGCCATTTTTTAAGCTCTTCGCTTCGTTGCCTTCGATGAAGTGGAAAGCTTCGGGGCCTAACTTTGTGACACTTCGATCATAGGACTCGTGACACGTGTTGGTCAGACCGGCGGCTATCGTCATATACCTTTCAGACAATTCGTTCTGCAGAGTTTTCGCGCCCAGTGCGAACATACCGCCTGCAAACATAATTGTTCAACGTTAATTTTATACTTTCAAACCCTCGAAAGGTCATTTTATCATTAAACCCATCTACATATAATGTGTACTTAATGAAATTAAAAAATAAATGAACATACATTAGTACACACATCTATTCCTTATCTTCATGAAAATTATTGCTGATTTTAAGGAATGTACTTTAACAAAATGTCTAGCTTATAATAAGAAACTTGTGGAGCGGTTATTTGACTGGTTTGGTAGCTTCAGTGTTAATACAATTTGAAATAAATATTTTTTAACTGAATTTGTAAATAAATAAATAAACATAAATTAGTACACACATCTATTCCTTATCTTCATGAAAATTATTGCTGATTTTAAGGAATGTACTTTAACAAAATGTCTAGCTTATAATAAGAAACTTGTGGAGCGGTTATTTGACTGGTTTGGTAGCTTCAGTGTTAATACAATTTGAAATAAATATTTTTTAACTGAATTTGTAAATAAATAAACATAAACTACTACACACATCTATTCCTTATCTTCATGAAAATTATTGCTGATTTTGAGGAATGTACTTTAACAAAATCTCTAACTTATAATAAGAAACTTGTGGAGCGGTTATTTGACTGGTTTGGTAGCTTTAGTGTTAATGCAATTTGGAATAAATATTTTTTAACTGAATATGTAGTATTACACACATGGTGCATGGACACAGTGTATACACATGATGCATCAACGTAATGAACCATTAGTGACAATTGATAACAGAGAAATAATAATTTTCAATAACCGTAACAGACTTTTTAAGTGAAGAGTTTTAGGGTTGACATCTGACAACAGCAAAAATACCTTCGAGTGCTAAGAATTAATATTTCTGTGTCTTCTATAAATTGCAAAAACACAGTGACTTCAGTCTTTCATATAGAAATTATAATTATTGCAGACCTAACACACTTTCTTTAAACATCTAGTAAAATTTCACTATTATTTTCTTTAGACTTTAACTCACCAGCGAAGCACGCAAGATGCCCCATTTTGTGTTCAGGCCTGTCGTACTTCAAATCCGACACATAGAGAAGCTTGCCAGGTGATGTTTTTATCATGTGCTGATCTATCGCTGCTATAGCTTCGTCGTACATTTGTCTTGCTTCGACGTCTTCTTTGCCGGATTGAATCCAAGCCTTCAGCAGGTACTCGTAAAAACTGTCTCCGAGGCCTCCCAGTGACATGTGATCTGTGTTTGATATAACAGAAACCTTCGTTAATTACGATTCTGCTAATAGAACATTAATTATTTTATTTTATGATCATTTTGTTAAATGATCATGGGTACATGATGTGGTGAATCATTTATTATTTTTTGGTTGGAGGACATTTTGAGGAGACTTCAAGGTTACTTGGAGGTGAGCTAGAGGTTATTTAAAGGTTACTTTAAAATTTAAGGGTGATAGAAAATAGTAAACTGTAAGGTTACTGAAAGGACATCTAGGTTACTTCAAGGTCACGTAGCGAGTCACTTCAAAGTCACCTCAAAGTTACTTTAAGGTCACAGTACATAAATTAATAGTTATAAATGAAGAATCTTATAAAAGTAATTTTTCTAAAAATTGCTTATTCAAAAAACAGTTTATAAAAAGAGTTTATACAAATCACAATAAATATAAATATGAAGACTATTACAATCATTCATGAATTTTCATCTTGCAAAAAAATATCCTACTAAATAAAAAGAATTATTTCTTTCAACCCAATTCACCCAAATAATTTTCATCTTTTTCTACAATTTTAAATTGCTCCACAAAGAAAAACGGTGTCGTTCAAGATATCCTTGACTTTAAAATAAAATTTCTTCAGAATTAAAATCTGCAGCTAACAAATAAGAAGTCCACAATGGCGCCAGAAATAAAAATTGCCCGAAACAGAAAATTTTCAAGGTATTAAATTAGCGAGAATTAAGGGAATAAAACGCAAGTTTTCATCGACATCGGTGAACACAATCGACCGGCAACAGCTTTTCATCGCGTTCATCGTTCGTTGTCGTCCGCCGTTGAAATTCATTCAACGCAACACGCTGTTGGCAGCTTCGATCCTCGTTCATTAACGCAGCCGGTATTCACGGTTTTCAAAGCGGATCGCGATTAATAACGTGGAGATGTGCAGGGAAGAACGGGATCCCATCTATCTTCGCGGAAATTCGCCAGGAAGACACGGAAGGACGCCTCATTGTGACAAGGAACAGTGAAACGGTCCAACACTTGGAAACCGACTCCTCCAGAAGAGGAGACAGTCACCGGCTACGGATATCGGCGAGGTTTTTGCACGAACAAGTGGTATACAGGGTGTACGGTCTAAGGATATTCTTCGTTTTTTATGAGCTCGATACAAAATTTAAGTGTTATTCTATCTTTGAGGTAATTGTGTTGTAACTTTCGTTTATGATATTTTTTAGGGTGGCAAAATGATAAATATTGTTAGAGGATATATTCTGGATGCTGTGAGAATGCGTTGATCTGCAAATTTTTAATTATGGAAATTTTCAATTCTCTAAATATTGAAATTTTTGTAATTCTAAAAGCTGAATTTTTCAATTCTTTACATTCTCTAATTTTCATATTCTCAAATTTTCAACCCCCTAAATTTTCAACACTCCAAAACTTGAAATAATACAAATTTTCAATTTCCTAAATTTCCAACCCTTCAAATCTTAAAATTTCCAAATTTTCAACCCCCTAAATTTCCAACCTTCCAAATCTTAAAATTTCTAAATTTTCGACCCCCTAAATTTCCAACCCTCCAAATCTTAAAATTTCTAAATTTTTAACCCCCTAAATTTCCAACTTCCCAAATCTTGAAATTCCCAAATTTCCAACTCCTCAAAACTTGAAATTTCCAAATTTTTAACCCCCTAACTTCCCCATTCCCTAAATGCTCAAATTTCCTAACTTTCAACCCCTAAAATTTCCAACCCCTCAAATCTACAAATTCCCAAATTTCCAACCCAAGTGTTCAAACTCCTCAATATCCAAATTCCCAGATTTGCAAATTTTTGAATTTACAAATATCTAAATTTCTAAACATCGAAATGTCGTAAAATGTCGTCGACAGTACACCCTGTATAACCCGACAAGTTGTCTGAGAAGGAGGTAGATGGACAAAGAGAGAAATCTCGAGCAGTTTTACTCTCGCGACTCTTCTTCGTTGCGGCGAGCCTCGAGTACTTTCATTTTCCTCCCTTTTCCTGTAGCCGGGCTTGAACCAGAAACGAAATCCGCCGTACGGGAAAGAGACAAACCGCGATCGAAACCGGCAGAGGAAATAAATTAGATTCGCCGAAGCGGAACAGCGACGACTTTACGAACGGTAAAGTGGATACAGCGACTATAGAATTGTTCTGATCGCTCGAAATTCGGTTAGAATTGTCAAAAATATCTGTCGGAGGGTATTTTAGTTTCATAATTGCGTTTCTCCATCGTTTTTTTATATTTTGTACAATATTAACTCGAAGATTGTTCTTATTTGTTTTTTATTAATGTTGGTTTTATTTATTTTTTATTAATGTTGGTTTTATTTATTTTTGATTAATGTTGGTTTTATATATTTTTGATTAATGTTGGTTTTATTTAATTTTGTGATGGCAGTCAACATTGCGGTCGTCAACATGGCGGTTATTAACATGGCGGTCAGTATGGCGGTTATTAACGTGGCGGTCAACATGGCGGTTATTAACATGGCGGTCAATATGGCGGTTATTAACATGGCGGTCAACATGGCGGTTATTAATATGGCGTTCATCATAGGTCAGACAATTACATGTTTTATTACAGTAAAATTCAATTATTTTAATTGACCTTTAATATCACTAGAAAATGCTATAACTTCCCCACATTTATAAACCTTGCATTTCCATACTTCCACACCCGAATCCCATTTCTACCCAATTTTTCATGAAGAACAATAGAAAAAATCTAGACCGTAATGGCCGCCACAACTCGTTAACAGTGAAATGTTGTACCAGAAGCCTGTCACGAAAAATGTCGCTCGAAAATCTGTTGAAAATGGAGAACACAACAGTATCGAAGTAAATTGTTTTACATCACGATGTATCGGACTACGCACCGTATTCTACATTGTTTCCCGAAACTTGTCGGAACAATCGAGCCGGTTGGTAACAGCGCACGCAGCTGCATCGTTTCAGAATCCACGCGAATGACCATCGAGGTAATTAGCTTCTTCGAGGTCGGCGTCCAAGTAGCCTCGCGATACTCGGGATTCAATAGAACCATAAATTTAAGACTCGAAGCTCGTCGAGCAACAAAAGCTGCGGTACGCGAAGAGGACGGTCAGCTTCGGACGATGATAAATATTCGTCGGGGATCGTCATACGTGCAACGGGAAAATACGGGAGGAGCAAGTCGGTGGAACAACAACGATAGAAGAAGAAGAAGAAGAAGAGGATTTAGCACCTGAGGGGATGCAAGCCATGATAAATGCGATATTCGGGATCGCGGAGAAGACAGCTCGAAGTCTCCCCGGAAGGCGACGGCAAAAGGAAAATAAAACGCGGAAGAAAAAAAGTTAGCAGAGAAAAATGGAACAGCAGCAACAACGTTGCGACGAGACTATTCCCATGTAATTGATTGCCGTCAGATTAAAAATCTATTTCGCACGAAACGCATCGAGATGCGTGAAGATTTATTAAATGAAATTACAGTAATAAAGGACCGGATGCGTTCGACATCGATCGGTATTCTTTAGGCTTTTCTTCTTCTGAGCCTTTTTTTACATCTCGAGATGACGTATCTCATTTGTAACCAGAATGTAAGGTAATTTGCGCGGCGATTTTTTCGTTTCGGTGGGATGTATTACGTCAAGAATTTGATACAGTGTTGCAATTATTGCCGATACTTGCTTCAGAAATTCTGGTAATTATAATGGTATGGTTGATTCATTGCAGATCTCGAAGAGAAAAAGGGGTGTGATTGATCAATTTTGAATTATCACTTGAACATGATCGAATTTTCAAATTTTTATAGGTGCAAATTTTCTCAGCTACAATTTATTAAAGTTTGTTAAAATCATAGAAATTTAACGGATACCAATTTCAACTTGAAGCTTCTTTGCGGAAGGAGCATAAACGTTTCACCGACATGTCCAATACAAAATGCAGTAGAAACAGCGAACTTACGAAGTACAAATTACAGCAAATGACTGAAATACAGAAATGACAGTTTATCAAAAAGTCGAAACTGTTCATATTTTCTCTCTAAATATTTTGCAACTCAACGTCATTTTTGACCGATTTGAAAGTAACCTCATCCAGGGAAAGTGCAGGAAAATATCGTTGAAAATGGTATGCGTTTATTTCAAGGCAGACGAGAAATTATATTCGATGGTTCTTTTGAAAGACAGTTTTCATTAGGTGGGCACGGAATTTATGGAGGTGTGATATGGCACGAGGGAATAATTAGTTTCATGGTTTTTCACGGGAAGATTGATCGTTGCGCGTGGAATGAACGTGGACAATGATTCAAGCAACACGGGAGGAGGATTACTCAAGAATGCTGTGCAACATGCTATGCATTCCAAGATTTATTACCGTCGCTATAATTTATTTAGCATTCATGTAAGTAGACAGCACGTAGTCGTAGAAACGGTGCAAAGCTCTATGAAAACGGGGAACAGAACGCGACGAAATGGAACAAGAATAACGGGTCGAGCGCCGGAACTGAAATAACCTAGAATTTTAAATTAATCCTAATTCAGAGAATTCACGACACGTTCGGGGGTGTATAATCCGGATTCAATAGCGAGTAATTCAGAATTAATTCGAACTAATTCCATCTCGTATTTTCGAGCATCAGCTACCAAGATTTATTTACTCTTCGTCTCTGGGATAATTTTTCACATTTTCTTATTTGTAAACTTCTCTGATGGAAAGATATTTTTCTATTTGGTCAGCAAGTTAGACTAAATTAGGTTAGGTTAGGTTAGAATTAGATTAGGTTAGGTTAAATTATATTGAGTTAAATTAAATTAAATTTGATTTGATTATTAGGTTCATTAGGTTAGGTTAGATTAGTCGAGGTGTATCTTGGTTAGGTTAGATTAAGGTATCTAACTTAGGTTAGGTTAGATTAGGGAATCTAATTTAAGTTAGGTTAGATTAAGGAATCTAATTTTGGTTAGATTAGATTAGGGAATTTACTTTAGGTTAGGTTCGATTAGGGTATCTGCTTTAGGTTAGGTTAGATTAAGGCATCTAGTTTCGGTTAGGTTTAATTAGGAAATGTAATTGAGGTTAGGTTAAATTAGGAAATCTAATTTAGGTTAGATTAGATTAGGGAATTTACTTTAGATTAGGTTTGATTAGGGTATCTAATTTAGGTTAGGTTAGATTAGGGTATCTAATTTAGGTTAGGTTAAATTAGGATATGTATTTTAGGTTAGGTTAGATTAATGTATCCAGTTTAGGTTAAATAATTAACATTACGTTCAATTAGATTAAGTTTTTCATGTAAGGTTAGATTAGTTGAAGTAGTTGAAGTTAGGGTAAATTAAGTAAAATTTACTAAGGTTAGATTTGTTTTGACTAATGAAAATGGGTTACGTTAGTTTAAATTAATTTATCTTATATCAAATCACATTGGATTTAGTCAGCTAGGATTAGATTAAATTATGTTAATTAGTTTCGCTAATGATTATGTTAAATTAAGCTACTTTGTGTTAGGTTAGTCTGTAACCATTGTAAAATGGAGATACAATCTGTATCAATGCTTCTCTTGTATAGTAACACTCCTTGAAATAACTAAAACAATTTTAATCTTGCTTATATAGATAGGTTTGTATATTATGTTTCTTATTGTATGCAGCATGACATACATATATATAATTGTGTACAATTATTCATTATTGCCAATATTATTGTAATACTGTTACATGTGTCATATAATTATCATTCATAATCATATGAAATTATATAAAATGTCTAAAAATAAGAGTATATCTTCAGAATCAAAGAAAATGTACATCTTGAAAAGCGTCTGAAGCAGTCTTAAAAATCAGTATGTATAAAACTTACGTTGTCCCCATTTGCCGGTCCTCGGATGAATATAATTCGGGTAGAGTCCCTTCGGTTTCTCCAAATTTTTCAGTACTTTCCTCACGTTCTCGACCTTGCTCTTGAAAACCGGATTACCGGTAATGTCGCTGAGGTAGGTGAATTCCAGGTGCATCGTGCCGATTTCGGAAAGTATGCTGCACCCGCTGCTGGCCCAACCATAATTCTTGCTAGCCTGGAAATCGTTCAAGGGAATATCGTGTTCTCGATTAGCCGTCGGGAAAACTCTGCGAAGGATAAATCCTTCGACGAAGTCGAGCCACGATCGAACCGATTCAATTAAACGAAATAACAAAAGAAGACGAACGACGACGGTAACAAAGGGACGGTAAATCCCCGCTGCGAGACTCGCACGATCTCTTTCTATCATTTTTGAAAGATAAATATTAACCCCTGTCGGGAAATTATCGGTTACGCTCGAGGTAATAATGAAAACGTTCGGTTTTCGCGCGGGGTTTAATCGAATTTTCCGTGGCGGGACAGGAGAGATTGAAAGAATGGATCTTTAATTATCCGGGAGGAAGACGGCGAAAATTGGGGTTTTATCTATTGCATCGACGCCTGGAAATCTTTACAGATTTGTAGAAGACATAGAAAGTTTTGCACTGATTGAAATTAATTAATATTTTTGTACAAATGCAGTTATAATTACAGAAAGATAGAAATGGCAAAATAAAATCATAATTATAAAAATTATATTATATTCATACTTCAAAAATTGTTTAAAAATAAGAAATCATTAAGATGTATCTACAATTTGAATTGTATGAAACATTTTATTATTTCATAAAATAGAAATTGTAAAAATGAAATCAATTTTACTTTCAATATTACAGAAGTATAAAATTACAACTTTTACTTTATGAAATAAAAAATTGTTCTATCTCCTTTTAAATTACAGTTGCAGTTATAAATTGAAGTGAAAATATTGAGACTCATTGATTATCAATATTAAACCAGTAGAATGAAACTAAAGGTAAAAATTAAAGAATAAAAAGCAAGAATTAATTTAAAATTAAAAGTAGCCACTTAACAATTACAAGCCGAAACTTCGAATCAGCAGATTGAACCTATAGAATTAATAATGGCTGCAGTTTAATCAAAAAGCAATTAAATACCTTTCTACTTTTACACAAAATACTCAGTTTCCACACTGGCAACTTTCTCTAAAATTCCCAACATAAATCGAGTTTCGCTAAATTGAATTAAAAAAGAACGATTCTAGATTTCATTTCCACAAACCGTAAATAGAATAAAAGAGAAAATACCAAACGAAATAGTAGATACATATCTGGGAAAGAAAAACAGCGAGAGATTCTGGTAGTCGTAAATCAGTTCGCAAAACAGGAAATAAAAGCGACAGTATTTTTTATATCACGGTAAAATTCTTTTCGTTCTTTCTAACGGTAATACGTGTGACGAGGAAGGGAGAAGAAAACACGTGTGCAAAGAGGGCAGTAACCACGAAGAGGGTTTTTGTGTTTAACATTAGAAACGCAAAAAACGATGTCGGTGGTTTAATTGATACAATACTGTCAAGTCACTCTTCTGCGAAATGACGTCGCGTGATTAATATGCAAATTCTTGATCGAACGTATAATAAACCACTGAATGTACGTGTTTTAATGTTTTATCATCTTTTTCACTCATTTCTTCCCTTTCCGTTTTGTCGTTTATCTTTCTTTCTTGAAACATATATAATTTTATGAATGTGTACTTTTGCTTTATTATTTTAGCCGGAGATTACAATTTTATGTTTGAAGTAAGGAGGAAGATGCAATTTTAATTTTGATTTGAAGTGTAACTGTGATTCTACTTTTAATTTCAAGTGTTATTTTAATTGTAACTGCAACTGCAACTGCAACAGTAATTGCAACTGCAACTATAAGTGTAACTGCAAATGTAACTACAACTGCAACTGCAATTGTAATTGCAACTGTAACTGTGTCTGTAACTGGAGCTGGAAGTATAATCGCACCTGTAACTGTGTCTATAACTGCAATTGAAAGTATAATTGCAACTGTAACTGCAACTATAAGTGCAACTGCAACTGCAACTATAAGTGAAACTACAACTGCAACTATGAATGCAACTGCAATTATAATCGCAACTGTAACTGTGTCTATAACTGCAGTTGAAAGTATAATTGCAACTGTAACTGCAACTATAAGTGCAACTGCAACTGCAACTATAAGTGCAACTATAACTGCAACCATAAATGCCACTGCAATAATAACTGCAACTATAAATGCAACTGCAATTATAACTGCAACTATAAATGCAACTGCAATTATAACTCCAACTGCAATTATAATTGCAACTGTAACTGTGTTTATAACTGCAGCTGCAACTATAATTGCAACTGTAACTGTAACTATAAGTGAAACTGCAATTGTAACTGCAACTATAAGGCAGCTGCAATTGTAACTGCAACTGTAAGTACAAATGCAACTGCAACTATAACTGCAATTATAATTGCATCTGTAACTATGACTATAACTGTTTCTACAATTCTAATTGCAATTTAATAAAGGAAGAAAGACGTTAAATTTCATATACTATTATGTCCTCACGAATGTCCAAAATTAAAATATTGATGGATTAACATCCCTCGACTCTTACAATATTTGTCTGACCGAAATATTCTGTTTGTAATCGGTTTCCAAATAACTGAATAATTAACGAAAGACTTCCAATCAGCAGAACGCGAAGCGTAGCCATTTTGTGTCGCATTCTCGCAATCCGAAAATGGCGGATCAACTTCGCACGATTCCTAAAATATTTGTCCAACCAAAATATTCGGGTCGTCCAAATAATTGAATAATTAACGAAGGACTTCAAATCGGCAGAAGCCATTTTGTGTAGCAGCACATTCCCGATGAAATCCGAAAATTAACTTCGCGCGATTCTCAAAATACTTGGCCGACCGAAAATTTCGCTCGACGACGCTCGAAATAATTAACATTAAAACAAGTTGGTGTCGGTACAGCGGTCGAGAGGAAACCGCGGAATCCGAGACTTACCCCGGTATGGAGATTGATGAGGGAATGAGGAATTCCGGTTTCCGTATGGAAAGCGGGCAACATCCGTTCGCCCAGCTGAGCCGCCTTATCCCGGAACATCACGTCCCCGGTGAGAGCGTAACAGGCCAGCAAGCTTCCCATGAAACGAATGTTCGTCTCGAACAGGGATATCTCGGAGTTCTGGAAAAAACAAGCAGAAAAAGACACGCTTTCATTAATGCACGTCCATCTTTGCGGAAGAGCTGGAGGGTCTAATTCGACTGGCCGAGTTCCAGATATGGAAACGCAACGACCGCTATGAACACGCGACTTCAATTCATTTTCGAGAGCTATCGTACGATTCGAGAGTCAAGATTTTACAGGTTTCATCATTTTTACATTTGATTATTTGTCGATTTTAATCTATTGTCACAGAGTAAACGAGAGGCACTCTCTGTCCTTTGTTCTCTCGAAAACGTCCCTTTAAATTGGTTGTGCAGACGAGCGGGAAATTTAAATCGAGCAAATCTACTTTTATGTCAATCTCTATAATAATTTAAAATATATTTGTAATAAACTTTCTGTACATCTAGTATTGTCTTTTGAGGTATTTTTACCAATTTTACAGCGCTGAAAAATTGAAAAAAAAAAAGAACTCTGATAATTATTCTATAATTTGTAAATCAATTTATAATAATATGACAAGATAACCACAATAATAAAATTAGAAAAAAACTCCATTAATAAACATGTACAAATAAATAAATATAAAATAACACTTATACGTATTTATAATATTAATAATTTCCTATGTTTTATATACGCAATCTATAAAAGTATTACAGAAAGCATTAAAAAAGGAAGGAAACGCCAGTTGCATTGCACACCTGAGTCCAGGTGGTAGAGACCGGTTTCATACGCGATACACCATGGATTTGTGAAGTCAGATTGCTTTTTTGTGCTTCGTATACTTGTACATTGTTCGTTATACTAACGTTACTTATATTTGCTTCTACTTTGTTCGTAAGAAAAGAGACATATGTGAATTTGCATATATGTAGCATTCAATAGTAACTATGTTGCATAGTGTAACTGTATCTCATAGAATTTCTATTTTACCATTTTCTTCATTTTGAGGCGAGAAATGATTAATGTTTTCTTAATACAAGATATGATGAATAGTTGGTTTATACAAGAAATGATAAATGGTTTACATAAGAAATGATGAATGTTTATACAAGAAATATCACATATGGATAGCACACATGGACAACACACACATGGACATTACACATGAATAACACACATGAGTAACACACATGGATACACACATGGACAACACACATGAACAACACACATGGACACTACACATGAATAACACACATGAGTAACACACATGGATAGCACACATGGACAATACACATGAATAACACACATGGATAGCACACATGGACAACACACATGAACACTACACATGAATAACACACATGAATAACACATGGACAATACACATGGATAACACACATGAATAACACACATGGATATCACACATGAATAACACACATGGATAGCACACGTGGACAACACACATGGATACACACATAGACAACACACATGAACAACACACATGGACACTACACATGAATAACACACATGAATGACACACATGGATAGCACACATGGATAACACACATGAACACTACACGTGAATAACACACATGAATAACACACATGAATAACACACATGAATAACACATATGGATAACACACATGGATAACACACATGGACAACATATGCGTACAAGAAATAAATGTAGAACATACGATACTAAATATCTGTAAAAATGAAGCTTGACACAGTCTGCAATGAACGTCAATAACAATCAGTCCAGTATTTAAAAAATGTCGAACAAAATGTAAAAAATGTCGAACAATTTACGTCTCCATGTAAATATAACATATTTATCGCAGCAAACTTCTCTCTAAAATAATGCACTGTCACAGTAAATATTTAAAACGATGAATAATTTCAGTGCAGTACGTCCCCGAATATTTTTATCACTTGCAAAACGATGTGTATGGAAATGGAATATGAAAAAAATGTATCGAAGCTATTTTTTTCACATTTTAAATTAACAATGAGTCTGATATTTTTTCCTCGAAATACACATTTTAGCTTGGTCATAAAGGGTGAATTTAGTTATTCACGTACTCAGGGATTTATTGTGGGAAAAAGTGTATGAATTAATGTCTTGCATTATTGTACACGGGAACTCGCTCGGAAACTGTTTAAATGAATTAAAAAGCTGAAACGAATTCTAATGAAATTTTCTCAGTTTTCGATTAAATTTAACCGGTTTGAATTTCTAGTTTTTTAACGTGATTTTTCAAATAATTCTCGAGCGCTTAGAAGCTAATGAAGTCACGAATGGATCGGAAGTCTCGGTTTAAGGATTATTCGAGGCACGTCTGCAACGCATTCTGGAAAAATGGAAGTGTGCAGTTGCATTTCAATTTTAAGCGCATCGGAGGTAATTTTCAAGCTGGCAAAGACAGAACTGATCCAGTCTTCAGAAACATGATGTACGTATACTGAATACTTAACTCTACGTCAAAGAAATTATATTAGTTGTCAGTCAAATATGGTTGTTAAACTTTAATATTTCAGTCATAATACGTTAAACCCATCACTACTAGACATCACCTTCTGCGATTTTGCTCTAGTCAAAATATGTTGTAGTCCACGTGAAATTAGAGGAAGTTTATGTCATCATTTTGCCGGTTTTGAAATTGTTAAGAAATAACAAGCCTTCAAAGTCTGCAATTTTTGCTCCCTTTTGCGAAAATAGGCTTCACATACGAATTTTTTTCTGAAAAACTACTCAGCCGATTTAGCTAAATTCTGTTTTGTTTTATTCGCCAAGAATTAGGCTATTTAAAAATAATTTTTTTAATTCCGTCAATGTTTTAAGTTTGAATCCTTTACGTCCCTCATTGAAAAAACGCAAAACAAGAATTTGTTTAAATTTTTCGAAATTTTATAAGAAATTGACGGAGTTAAAAAAATTATTTTAAAATAGCCCAATTCTTCGTGAATAAAACAGAAAAGAATTTAGCTGAATCGGTTGAGAAGTTTCTGTGAAAAAAATTCGTAAGTGAAACCTATTTTCGCAAAAAGGGGTAAAATTTGCAAAGTTTGAAGGCTTGTTATTTGTTAACAAATTCGAAACCGGCAAAATGATGACTTAAACCCCCCCTAATTTCACATGGACTACAACATATTTTGATTAGAGCAAAATCGCAGAAGGTGATGTCTAATAGTGATGGGTTTAACCTAAAATGACTCCTTTGTAGTTCATAAAAATTTGCCAAAAGCACTTCAAAATACTATATCCTTTTTTATCGCAGGAAAAAATTAATAAACATATATATGACAAAAGCTTGCGACTAAGCAATTTTTGAGCAGAGTACTAAAATGCGAAAAAAAATAGTGATCAGTTGGTATAAACCTGAATACACAATGGAGGGATTAAAAATGACTTTTAAATCCGATATGAAAGTGTTCCGACGATACATAAAATCGAATCGATAATTTTTCAACGAGCGTCATCCAGAGTCGAAATACGAATTCGACTCGAATCGAGTTTATACAGAGGGGCTTACAGCGACGTTTGTTTCGTCGGTGTGCATCGCGATGCATCATTTTGCTGGGAAAATGCACCGACGCACCGTTCAGAAATGCAATTCCGACGGCTCGTGAATAACGCGGCTTTACTGCGATAAACTTGCGAGATTTAAAGTTGGCCGAAACTTGTATCCGGCTTTGCACGGGGCGTCTGCGAAGTGGCGGAAATTCGATGATTAAGTTTCCAGCTGGTGTTTAATGAGCTAAGATTATTATTAGTTTAGCGGGAGTTATGAAGTTATTTCCCAACGACAAACTGTCTGCAGCTCGTCTGCTTTGCTTTTCTTCTCTTCGTTATTCTATTTTACATCGAGCTTAATCATGTTGCGCGCTTTTCACTGTGTTATATACCGTTGTTATTTCGTTTGCTACGCGTGCATTGATGTACACCGGCTCGTTTGTCTTTGTTCTCTGTTTTGATTTTCTTTCGTGTTCGTCGCGCGAACGTTTTAGGTCGTTTACTGTCGTTGCATGTGATAATAAAGTACTCTTATCGCGGCGGTGACAGGTAGGCGTAAGTGACAAAACATTTTACGGATAATATACGGACATTTCAAGTTTTAATTTTAGAGTTTTTAAATACTTAAATTTAGTGACTTAGAAATACAACAATTTGGAAGTTCAGTAACTTACTAATTCAAGAATTTAAGAATGTTAGAATATAAGAATTTAGAGATAGAGGATTGCAAGAATGTAGAATTTAGGAATTTAGACGTTTACGATTTTAGGAATGTGGGAATTTAGGGATGTAGCAATTTAGGAATGTGGGACTGCAGTATTGTGGCAATGTTGGAATGTTAGAATGTGGAAATGCGAGAATGTGAGAATGTGGGAATGTGGAAATATACCAATGTTGGAATGTTGCAACTTTGGAATTTCGGAATGTGGGAATGTTGGAATGTCGAAATGTTGGAATATACCAATGTCGGAATGTTGCAATTTCGGAATTTTGGAATTTGGAATATTGTAATTTTGGAATGTGGGAATGTTGGAATGTGAGGATGTTGGAATGTCGAAATGTGGGAATGTTGGAATGTAGGAATGTGGAAATATACCAATGTCGGAATGTTGCAATTTCGGAATTTCGGAATTTGGAATATTGGAATGTGAGAATGTTGTAATGTTGTAACTTTGGAATGGGGGAATGTTGGAATGTTGGAATGTTGGAATATCGGAATGTGAGAATGTTGGAATGTTTGAATGTGGGAATGTTGGAATGTCGGAATGTGAGAATGTTGGAATTTTGGAATGTGGGAATGTTGGAATTTTGGAATGTGGAAATGTAGGAATGTTGGAATGTAAGAATTCAGGAATTCAAATGTGTGATCTATTTAGACATTTTTTACTTACCCCACCTTCATAAACTTCTAAACCTTCAAATTTTTCCACATTCCAAAATTGTGAAATTCTCAAATTCTCAAATAACAAATCCTCCAAATCCTCAAACTATCAAATAACAAATCGTTTAGATTCCCAAAATCTATATCCCTAATAACCAAATAAAGTCACGAATGCA